CTTCACAAAAATCTGTCCAAGTTTATTTTTTTAAAGTGCCTATTATAAACAATGATAATAAAATTTTTAATTAGGTTTAGTTTTTTGTTTTGTTTCCCATTCAGGTTCAGAAAGAAAAACAGCAAGCATTGTCAGTGGAAACTCACTTAGATATTTATAGGATGCATCTTTATAGTATACAATCCATAAATTAAATTCAATGGAAGTATACATTAGATGTCAGTGACATTCTCTTTCATCATTAAAAGATGAAATCATAATGTTTTTAAGTCAGTGGCCTCAGTAATTTTAAAAATTAGTCTACAATAAAAAATAAAAAACTAAGACAAGTCAAAAGAGATTAAGAAGATTCAAGCAAATTTATGAAGAAAGAAAAATAATTCATACAAAGGAGAAAATAAAACCATAAAAAATACTGCATTTGCTTTCTTATTATGGACAGTGATATTAGACACAAGTCTCCTTTTATGTCTTTTTTAAAAAGCAAACTTTTATTCCTTTATTTGGTTTTGGGGCCACACCCAGCTATGCTCAAGGATTATTCCAGGGTCCTGAACTGAGGAATTACTCCTGACATTGCTCGGGAGACCATATGGGATGCTGGGGATTGAATCAGGGGGTCAGTGAGGAGCAAGGTAAAAGCCCCACCTGCTGTACTACAGCTCCATCCTCTCCAATTCATTCCCTACACCCCTCCCCCAAAGAAAAGGGAAACTTTTAAAAGTCAAATTTGTAAAGTAAAATACTGGTCAATCAACCTGTTGGAGGCAATAAAATTCAATAAAATTTTTCAAAAATAAATTTGGCAATATATTTCAAGAATGACAAAGCTTTCATAGTTTGACCTTGTAATGCCCTTCTAGGACTCTAAAGAAAAAATGTGAAAATGAAGACCTGCTGTGTATTAATTGCATTATTTGCAAAATTGAAAGTAACCAGAATTTTTGATTATTAAAACAAAGTAAGTTGGGACCAGCTAGACAGTACAGCAGGTCGGGCTCTTGCCTTGCATGCAGTTAACTAAGGTTTGATCCATGGCACCCCATATGGTTCCCCCTTAAACACTGCTAGAAATGTTCCCTGAGCACAGAGCCAGGATAACTCCTGAGCACTACCAGGTGTGGCCCACAAAACAAAAACAAGTAATATAAATAATGTACAATTTAATATACAAGAACAATAGCAAAACTTAACTATACGTTCTTAAATATTACTTTTATGCCTTGATTATAGTGCAAAACACATATATGAAAATTAAATGAGAAGTTTATTTTTACTATTTTATTTATTGACCATTGAGTTGCGTTTTTAAAAAATCTTTTAAAGCTGGGACTGGAGCGATAGTACAGTGGGTAGGGCGTTTGCCTTGCATGCAGCCGACCCGGGTTCGATTCCCAGCATCCCATATGATCCCCCAAGCACCGCCAATAGTAATTCCTGAGTGCAGAGCCAGGAGTAACCCCTGAGCATCGCTGGGTGTGATCCAAAAAGGAAAAAACAAAAAATAAAAATCTATTAAAACTAAAGATCCATCACAGTAAATATATACTTCAGAAGTACAACGACCCCCCCCCCACACACACACACAAATCAGCTACATTTTCACCAAAAAACCTTCAGCCAGAGAGATCACTCAACAGGTTGGGGTACAAGCTTCACATATAGCTGAGTTTGATCCCAGACACCAGATTGTACCCCAAGCACTGCCAGAAGTGATCCCCAAAAACTAAGGGTAGCCAAGAATAGCAGGAGCATCACTGAGGCTTAAAAAAATAAATAAATCTATCACATATGAGTAATTAGATAGGTCCGTCTCGTAAACTACTAGCCAAACATGTTGTGCTAGCCATGCTTTTAGGCAGCTGTAACCTTGTTATATTAAATCTCATTTTACCATCAAAACATAATATGTAGTATCTCCATATGGGAAGCAGAAGCCACTTGTTATGGGGCATCTGGAGAGAGGGCTCCAAGCACTTAGGTTAAAACTAGCTAGTAAATGGAATCGTGAAGATTAGGTTTCTTCCAGATTCCCAAATGAATTCTCATGTTTCGTTGTCGCTCAAGAGCTCTAAGCCCCTAAAACTAACAGGTAAGCATTCAAGAAGGGAAAAAGTGCACACCAATTTGCTCTTTCTTAAAAACTTAAAAACAACTTCCTTATTTCATCCCAAAGCACCCTGGAGTAACAAATATACACATGTTATATTAAGGTCAGCAGATTTAGAATACAGGTGAGCTAAAGTAACCTCAAGTACGTAAGTTACGAAAATGCTTTCGTTGTATAATGGGTACAATTTTTAAAGTTGAACCCAAACTGTTTGTCCTTTTAAATTCACTATTCTATTAATTTAGCTGCTCCACACCCTCTTCCCAATATATTCCCAACTTTTTCAAAACCCCTATTCAAACTGCAATATAAATTTTCAGATGCAGAATAGGGAAAATCAAGGAGCAAAGGTAAAATGTACAGATGGTTAAAAGGGCTGATTTGTAAACAGCTCTGTCTCTCTACCGGTATGACCTTGGGCAAATTATTTTACCTCAGAATAAAGTTTTTATATCAAATAAGCAGCAATCTTTGGTCAGACCCTTTTTAGTAATGCATCACAAAATGCATTAGCTATTGTTTGTTTTTTATATGTGTACTTTTTAAATTATTATTATCTTGATCATAACCAGGATTTCATTCCTAATCAACAAAACTCTGACTTCATTCTTAAACATTTAAAAGTACCTCTACTTCTTTTCTAAGTTTTCTGACACTGAAACCACAGATAACTTATTTTGCCTATCTTACAGCTATGCTCACGATCAAAAGCATTTCTCAAAACTTCATTAGTTTTTCAGCACTTGTACCTTAAGAAAGTATTTGCTGAAATTACAATGTTTTCTAACATTAAAAAGCTCTTCTAGCGAAGAGACATACAAACAAATCATTAACTCTCCCCTAACAAATTCTAACTGCGAATGTACAATATGCTACTATTACTGGATTGGTCCAGACAAGGGGAATAAAACATCTGGACAAGATTCAGAGGTGATATTTTGATTAAGTCTTGAAGGACAAGTTGTTTATTAAGTAGAGAATTTTCAACAGAGGGAACAGTGTAAAACCACAAAGATGTCATCTTCAGAGATCTCCAAGCAGTCTTTGTACAGTGAAGACTGGCATAAAGGCAGAAGACGAAATGAGAAATATAGACATGTAGCAGGAATTGTGTAAAGACTCTGACTCATCAAACAGATGATGGAGAGTCACTAATGGACTTTCAAATATGGAATCAAAGTCCCCTTCTTCCTGGGGCCTGAGAGATAGTGCAGTGGTAAGGTGCTTGCCTCGCAAGTAGCCACATATGATCTCCTGAGCACCATCAGAAGTGATCCTTGAGTGCAGAGCCTGGAGTAAGTCCTGAGCACTGCTGAACTGTGGTCCAAAAACAAAACAAAACAAAATTTTGACTTTAAAAAAAAAACTCTAATAGCACACTGGGTAGAGCACTTGCCTTGCAAACAGTCAACCAGGGTTTGATCCTCAACATTCCATATGGTGACCTGAACACCACCAGGAGTAATTCTTGAATACAGAGCCAAGAGTAACCCCTAAGCATCACTGGGTGTGGCATTAAAAAAAAAAAAAGAGAGAGAGAAAAAAAAATTTTAAATACATTTAATAAAAGTCCCCTTCGTCCATCTTTTAGTCAATGACTGGATCAAGGCACCAAATTTTAAAAAATAAAAATAAAGAAAAACCAGATTTGGTTGGTTGAGGTAAAACAGAATAAGTGATGTTATTGAATGGAGACTGTCTTCTCTTTGAAGGCCTTCAAGAAGTTTCTACTGTGATATATCAATAAAGCACTGATGCAAAAAAGTAGGGACTTACTGCCAGAGTTCAAGAAAGTACAGTAGTTTTAAAGCTAAAGATTATCTTTAAGGTCGATATTGGTAAAAACAACCAAATAGGAAGAGCTAAGAGCTATGATAAATAGAGGCAAACAGTAACAATGTCTAAGGATATTGACTTTAAGCTAAAATATCAGAACATTTAAGTCCTTATCATAACATTAATACAGCAATGGAGGGGGGTGGGTATTTAAACCAGGTAAGAAAGAGCGATGTCAGCGATGTCTTCTCCAACTCCGCTCCCTTGGAGAAACCTACAACCCAACGCATCTCGCTCCTTTTAAGAAACCCACAAGTCATCCCACCAAAGGCCATCTGAAACTGACAAGTTTCCATCTGGGACCACCAAGGAAGGGCCTAAGGCTCACAACCGCAAAGCCCAATTGGCCGGGCAGCTTGCGGAGATGAATTTGCAATTACTGGCCTTCCAACTTAAGCTGGGCCACCAACAGCGACCTCAAAGGTGGGCCATCGGCCTTTGACTTTGACCCACACTCCACTTCCCCCCGAAAAAGTAGCTTTCTACGGGTGTGTGCGTGTGTGTGTGTGTGTGTGTGTGTGTGTGTGTAAACTGCAGGAGTCTGAAAAGGCGCGAGCAAGCATCAATCTGCACCTACGGCAACGGTGTGCTCCAGACCGAAGTTTCATCTCAGGATGTATTTTAGGGTGTGTCTTTGTTTTGACTCACCAATGTAAAGAGGAGAAAGAAAAAAAAAAAAGGGAGAAAACCACGGTCATGGGGGCACACCGGTACTTTCCCCATCAGCCCTGCGCAGGCACTGAGGTCGCTGGGTACCCCAGCCTCGCCCCATCGCTCGGGACCGGCGACCGCCCCAGCCGCCGGCGGACCCCGCACGTCTGTCACCGCTCGCGGGGCACCGGGGCGTCCGGCCTCTCCGTTCCACGCCCTCCCGGCCTCCAGACGGCTCGCGGGGAGGCCCCGAGGGTCACCCCAGAGAGATGCCGCCCCCTGGGGGCCCCCCCCGCCGGCCGCGCTCGCCCCCGCCCAGCCCCCGGGGACGCCCGCGGCGCCGGCCCCGCCCCGCCTCCGGCCCCCCAGCTCCAGCCCTGACGGACCGACCCCCGGCGCTCACCGTGCGGGGAGGTCCGCTTGGCCGCCTCGTCCTCGGTCACGGCCCGGCGGCGGCTGACCCTGCCCCCTGCAGGTCCCGGGACGGCCAGGCGACAGGCGAGGGACGGCGGCGGCGCGTCACATCCCCGCCGACCCCGCCGCCCGGCCCGCAGCCTCCAGCATCGCGTCCGCGGCCTGAGGGAGCGCCGGACTCCCGGGCCACAGCGCCCCCTCCCTCGGCGGGCGCCAGCGCGGACTCCGCCCTCCGGGGCCCGCTCAGCGCGCGCGCGCGGTCCCGCCCCCCGGCACGCCCGTGCGCAGGCGCGAGCCTCACGGGCCGAGGCCCCGCCCCCGGGCCCGCCCCCCCTCCTCTGACTCGCGGCCTCAGCCCACCTCTGGCCACGCCCCCGCCTCCCAGCCGGCCTTTCCCAGGCCCCGCTCCCACCTCGGGACCCACCCACCCGCCCCGCCCCCGGCGCTGACCTTGTCTTCGAGCCTCTAGACTCTGGCCTTGGCTCCGCCCAGCCAGTGACGTCACCCAGCGGCTGCGCCTACCTTTAGCCGGGTTTTCACGTTTGCGGCTGGCTGCTGTCAAGTCTCTTAACCGCCTGTCCCGAGCCCAGAAAAGTTGGAAGTTTGGAACTAACGTGGGATCTTCTCCCGCCTTTCGGTGATGTGGAGATCTCCAGAATTTTCTCTGTGCGAACTCGTTCCCTGTTGCCACCTCCCTTGCCCTAGGGCTTTTCTGGACTACACTAGCCTGCTCAACAAAGCAAAACAGGAAATTTTGCTAAGGACCAGGGAACGGAAGGAGAAGCCCCAAGTGCAAAGATTTGGAGTAACTTCATGGCTCCATCAATCTGGAGTACATTACCAGGAGCCAAGTCCTCCTTCCCTTTGGAGCTTCCCCATTCAGTCATCTCTTCCACTCCCTTCTTCCTCCATGTTTGGACCTGTCTAGAGTGCCCTTGATCAAGAAGCATGGTTCTGGCTAGTTTCTAAAGGCCTGAATTGCCCTTATGTGGTAGTAGGGTAAAACTACTCTAGGAAATCCTCTCAGGACAAACCTACCAACAGGCTGACATATGTGTGTATATATATGTATGTATGTATGTATGTATGAGCTGGAGTGATAGCAGAGCGGGTAGGGCGTTTGCCTTGCACGTGGCCGACCTGGCTGACCCAGATTCTATTCCTCCACCCCTCTCGGAGAGCCCAGCAAGCTACGGAGAGTATCTCGCCTGCATGCCTGGCAAGCTACCAGTGAGGTATTCGATATCCCAAACACAGTAACGAGTCTCATAATGGAGACATTACTGGACCTGTTAGAGCAAATGGATGAACAATGGGAGGACAGTGCTACAGTGCTACAGTTACAGTGCTACACACACAAACACATCACTATCACCCCGTTGTTCAACGATTTGCTCGAGCCGGCACCAGTAACGTCTCCATAGGTCCCTGTCACGTGCTAGTGTAGCCCAATGGCATATTTGGGGGCTCTTTCAGGGTCAGGGGAATGAGGACCATCATTGTTACTGTTTTTGGCATATCGAGTACACCAGGGGTAGCTTGCCAGACTCTGCTGTGTGGGCAGGATACTCTCAGTAGCTTGCTGGGCTCTCCGAGATGGACAGAGGCTTTGGGGACAGCCTCTAATGACCTTTAGAGGTGTTCCCAGTCAGGTATGTATGCGGGCAGGATATTCTCAGCCTGCCAGGTTCTATGAGAGTGAGAACTAGAGAATAAGAGGTTGCACAAACACATAATAGCATTTAAAGATTTCTTGGAAAACATCCACTTTTTCCATGTCTTTATTCAGTGATATTCCAAGGGGAAAAGGAGGGAGTTACCAAACTAAGATCAGTAGACATGCCTGGTTTGAAAAACCACACTCCATTTATAAATATACTTTTATAATTGGAAAATGAAGTGTAATTCTAATAAAAATCTAATAAAGATTGAATTTCGTGGATAAGATGCATATTTAAGTTTGTGCAACACTAAATCTAAGCTTCTAGAACTTAACTTTTATTAGTTCAGACTATTAAAAGGCAAATGCCTGAACCAACCTCTCCTGAGCAAACCCCTTAAGAATATTCCCTCCAAAGATGCAATTACTAGCATATGCTTTAGGATTGATGCCTTCAACTAAATTGAGAGATGATACAGGGAACGCACACTCCCACCCTGCAGCCTGTCGTTGAGAATTAAGGAAGATTGAAACATTTAATTTTAAAATAAGAATTAAGAAAGATGCTATAAACTCAACAGCCAGGGGTATGGTGCCTCCAGCAGGTCAATCTGTACCTGTGAGTCGAGTGCATCAGCAGCGCCTGGTGGCGCCTTCAGATTTCCAGATACCCCAAAATTGCTGCTGTGCCTATGACCAGACCCCAAAAACTTGGGGCAAAGTTTACCAAGAAAGTAAATGGCCAAAAGTTAGGTATGTGGGAGACACACACACACAAACCACCTCCGGCTCAGCTATATAATTGGAGGCGTGGCCTCTCTGGTTCCTGATCGAACTGCTTGACGGCCATGATCCCAGAGACTCAGAAATAAATCTCGAAACCCAGCGGCTTTTGGAAAAAATGCGTCCAGTCCCTGCAGTAAGTTACAGGCGCTGGGCCACCCCAGGTGGGAATAGGTTTCGTGACTTGGCCTGTTCCCCCTGGCAGCCTGGTGGCCGTCGTACTCCAGAGGCCACTGGACAGTCAGGTTTGAGCCCACAGTGACGAGACAAGTGGGACCTCACAGGATGGGGGTGGAGCCGGCCCTTTCCTCCCTGTCCCAACAAGACCCCGAATCGCCGCCCACAAACGGCCTCTCTGGCTCCTGATCAAGCTGCTTAATGGCCATGATCCCACAGACTCAGAAACAAATCTTGAAACCCAGCAGCTTCTGGCAGAAATGCATCCAGACCATGCAGGTTACTGTCACTGGGTCACCCCAGGGGGAAAGGGTACTGTCCTTCCACCTGCTCCCCCTTGGTGGCTCGATGGCAGCCATCTGCCAGAAGCCACCGGTCAGGTTTGAGCCCACAGTGACAAGACACGTGGGGCCTCCCAAGATGGGGGTGGAACTGACTCTTTCCTCCCCATCCCAATGAAACGCTGAGTCACCGCCCACTAACGGCCTCTCTGGCTCCTGATCAAGCCATTTAATGGCCATGATCCCAGGATTCAGAAACAAATCACGCAACCCAGTGGCTTTTGGCAGAAATGCGTCCAGTCCCTGCAGTAGGTTACTGACACTGGGCCACACCAGGTGGGAATAGGTTTTGTGCCTTGACCTGTTCCCCCCAGAAGCTCGGTGGCCACCATCCTTCAAAGGCCACTGGACGTCAGGTTTGGGTCCACAGTGATGAGACAAGTGGGGCCTTATGGGATGGGGGTGGAGCCAGCCCTTTCCTCCCCGTCCCAACGAGACCCCAGGTCACTGCCCACGAACGGCCTCTCTGTCTCCTGATCAAGCTGCTTAACAGCCATGATCCCAGAGACTCAGAAACAAATCTCGGAACCCAGTAGCTTTTGGCAGAAATGCATCTGGACTGCTCAGTAGGTTACTGTTGCCAGGTCAACCCAGCGGGGAAAGGGTGCTGTCCCTCCGCCTGCTCCCCCTAGGCATCTCGGTGGCCTCCATCCTCCAGAGGCCACTGGACAGTCAGGTTTGGGTCCACAGTGACAAGACACGTGGGGCCTCACGAGATGGGGGTGGAACTGACCCTTTCCTCCCCATCCCAATGAAACGCTGAGTCACCGCCCACTAACAGCCTCTCTGGCTCCTGATCAAGCTGCTTAACGGCCATCATTCCTGAGACTCAGGAACAAATCTCAAAACCCAGCAGGTTTTGGCAGAAATTCCTCCAGATTTAATTGTTAAAATTTCGGAATTTTAAAATCACATGGCCACTACGACATCATATGTTATTCATAACCAGCAGTAGAAAACAAATTGTCTACTATTGCCTTTTCAGCAGATCTGAGTGTTGAGGTAAAATCCCAAATAATAATGGTGGTTCTGATGTCAAAATATTGAATGTAATCAAAGTAGAGAGAGAGTAATAATGTGGAAAGCATCTTCCCCACAGGTTGGGGGAGGGTGTGGGATGGGGGTAAAGGTAAAGGTAAAGGTAAAGGCCCTCCCGTTGATCGTCGATTTGCTCGAGCGGGCCCAGTAACGTCTCCATTGGAGGCTTTGTTGTTACTGTGTCTGGCATATCGAATACTCTCGGTAGCTTGCCGGGCTCTCCGAGAGGGGCGGAGGAATCGAACTCGGGTTGGCCATGTTGGCCGCTTGTAAGGCGAACGCCCTACCCGCTGTGCTAGGGATGGGGGTACACTGGGGTTTTTGGTGGTGGAGAATGGGCACTGGTGAAGATACGGGTGTTTCATTGTATGACCGAGACTTAAACCCGAAAGCTTTGTAACTAACTGCTCTCACGGTGATTCAATAAACAAAATTATAAAAAATGAAAAAAAAAGTAAGGTGGAGTTCATGCCCAATTCAATCAGCTAATCAGTGGCTGAATAAATAGCAGTACTCCTACATATTAAAAAAAAAAACCCTCAACAGTCTCTTTATGATCTGAGAAATATTTCTCAGTTACTGAAACCAGGAGAGCTATGCTTCTAAAAAATGCTAGCTTGGATTTCCTACAATTCAAAGTGTTTCAGAACCTCTTGGGGGTGTTTAGTAAAACTGCAGATTGTTCAACACCTCCCTCTGAGTTTCTAATTCAGAACTTGGATGGTACCTAAGAATTTGTATGTCTTGCACGTTTTCAGGGAACCTATCCTAGGGACCACATCTTGAGAACCACTGCACTCGGGAAGCTCTGTTGTAGTCATCCAAATCAGAGAAGAGAGATTTCCTCTAGAGAAAATTATAAATCACAGGAAACACTGAAGCACAGCTGAAAAACAAAAAATTTAAGTGTCAGCTACTATTAGGTCAAAATCACATTGAGGACAACCTTCAAAGCTGGGTAGGCAGGGCTGATGACAGCTGAGAAAGTCAGGGAATGCCTGGCCCCAGCCCATGAGTTGGGAAAAGACAGCATTAACAAGCAAGATGGTGTAAAGTTCCATGGGGGTGAGGAGGACAGAGAGAGAGCATGATGGGCTAAGCACATGCTTTCCCTGTGGAAGGCCAAGATATGATGCCTGGCACTACCTGGTCCCTGAGCACTGAGTTGGAAGTAGCCCCTGAGCACTGCCAGGTGTGGTCCCAAAATAAAACAAAAATGCTGTGGTGGGAATAT